AAAGTAAGGGAAATTGACGTTGCTGCTAATTGGCCAGTCACCATATCGGGAGTTAGAAAAGGATGCTAGCTGCCCTTGAGGGAGGGTTGCTAGTGGGAGACGTCGTTCGTGGAAAAATAGGTCTCTCCTGTCTTCCCGTAACTGGGACAAAGACTGTGTATCTGTTGAAGGATTTTAGGTAACTAGATATTAGTGTTTATGACGGTCCTCGGGCTAGCCGATCACGTACTGTGGAGACGCGTCGACATCTGGAAAACGTCCTGCCCGGAGAATAGGATCTGCGTGTGGCAAGCTACGGGACAGAGACCGTTGGAATGTTTACTGCCACGTGCCGCTATAAATCTTTCTTTTAGGGAGAGCTATCGTGTTACTCAATGTCTTTGTTAGATGGAGAGTTCGTCCCGTTGGCCGCGGCCACGTTCGGCGACTAATCGTCGCCTTGAGCCCAAGCTCGTTGTCACAAGTTTTAAACAAATACAATTGGGTAGTGTGACGGCAAAGCGTTTAATTACAACCGTAGATTTTAATTACAATGTTTCTATGAATTGGGAAGACATCGGTGTCCTCTTATCTCCGACAAATATAATAAACGTATGAAGCGTCGTAGAATTTTTCTGTCAGAGGAACAGCTGATCATTTTTTTCTCGAGATCGAGACAAATTTCTTTTGACAAATTCACCGTAATATGGCTTTCCTCTTCCAAAGCTGCATATCTCTTATATCAAACATATAAAAATAATATAAGATTAGCAGATGTTGTGAAATTTCTCTTCTTTGCCCCTTTCTTTTTTAAAATTGGCCATCTATCTAAATTCGGCAATTAACAGCTGATCGGAGAAAAAAACCTTCGATTTGACTAATCATGCGAAATCTCGAGGTTAACGAGAGCGCCAATTTGACGGATTCGAGGTAGAAAGATCGTTTTTCGAGGCTAATCGAGGCAACGATTACCCGTTAAATGGGCCATTACCGAAGAAAAGATCGGCGAAGAACTAGAAGTGATCGTGGCCGATGATATGCAAGCGGTGTCTTTCCAAATGGACTTCTTTAATTGATATTCGAAGGTCGAGCAGAACTCTCTTCTCCTTCCTCGATACACGCTGCCGCGAAATTACCATTTCCAGTTCAGATAGATTATTACAGTGGACGACCGGTGTATTCATTGAATCGCGTTCTATTGTTTTTGCCACGCCGCTATAATAAATCGTACTATTTGGCGGAGTTATCGATCGAGGAAGAAAAATGGGAGAACGCTTCGATCAGATCCTTCCGTGAATTGATTTATCGATGTGAAAATAAACAAATTTTTTAAAAGAAGACAGAAAAAAAGGAAAGAAAGTAAGGTAAAAAGAAAAAGTAAAGACTACAGACGAATACGAGTAGCTCGTAAGACTCGTCCGCCGGAATTTCATGTAACAGCGAACAAGATAAATCGTTAATTATATAATCTGCTTCACGCATTTACCGATACTGGATCCGACGTGAATGGACGTAAGTTTCAACGTACGAAGCATTTAGCCGAGCTCGATCGATTTACAACGCGTCGTTCGGCTTCTCCAGCTATTGGAATACGTAACGAACGAGAGTAGAACCGGCTACCAGTAGACGCTATCCGCCATGCAAACCGACTCCATAATGGCACCATCCCGCAAATACATAAGAATCTTTGGAAACGGATGCAGAGAGTAGCTGCCTTGTACATGCCGCTGTAACAACTCCGCTCGTTCGTTTCGAACGTTGGCTCTGCCGCATTAAGCTCGGTTTACGCTTGACATGTTCTCGAAATACGCCAGGCTTTAAGGCACGATCTTCGACTGCCGTTTCTAAATCGCGAATAATGCCACGAAAACTCGATCATCCGTGGGATTTGATTCGTAATAAAGCGGGTTAGCAACGACGTATTGACGGATGCGCGCGTGAACCGAGTTTCAGAAGCGGGAAATCGAGGGAGATATTTCAAAGTAGTGTTCGAAATTTGTTCTGATTTGCGAACCGAATGACCGAGATGTAGAGAGTACGTGGATTTTCTCTTGTTAAAGTCGAAGCTTTTTTAACCCGCCAACTAAGACGTTAAATTAACAGACGTTGAACGCACTTTATAAATCGTATTGCAAAGTTATGCGTTACGTCGCTTGGAAAAGCTTGTCGCTTGTTCCGTTGACGTAACGGGATTGTTTCGCTCGTAAGCAATTAAAAATCCGTCTGCGAATTCTTCGAGAATGCCAGAACGTGCAGAACTGCTCTTTAGCGGCGAGTCTCGCTAAAGGAAGCCGTCAAGATGCGATGTATTATTGCTGCAGGATATCGATTCGTTCGATTCTTGGGATTCCCATGACGCCGATTTCGCGGCAATAACGCGAAAATCCAACGAAGATACGAGGGTCGCTGGTCGATGGACGAGACATCTCCTTCCGAAGAAGGAATGCACGGGCTGGCTGCTGCTCTCGCAGACATGAAATTCCTGTCCCTGGGAATACCGAGCTCGCAATCGATTCTTGGATCACCCGCACAACCTTTAAACCAGATTTACGAGCCGAACCGATAAAGAAAACCCACGGAGCTATCTGTCACCAACGAATTTCGATGACTACGAAGTGTTTCTTTTTCTTTTTAACAGGCGAATCTATAAAACCGGGGGTAGAAATTTCCTGAAAAATTGAAACGCCCAGCGTTGAGATGTTGTCGTCGATTAAACAATTAACATTAAACAACGACACGCGTGTCGTTAAAAAAGATATTAGAAGACGCTTATAGCGATTTTATGGGATAGCGGAATGTAACGTGCAAGAAAAATAATCGACACATTTGGCGCAACAAGGTTCGCAGGAATTGCGCCAAGAGAAAGAAATTCCCGCTTCCAATGTCGGTTTCACTCACCATGATTTCCATATTACGAGGCTTCGTTACACGTGCACCCGCTACCGGCCACTCATGCATATGCATTAACACGTATTTTCTCGTGCATAATCTCACGTTGTTTTATATAGTTCTCGACCAACCGCCAGTTTGGCAACCTAAATATTTATTTCCGACTACTCGTAGACAAGCCGCGCCACGGAACAAAATCTCGCGCAATTTCTTAGAGATCCTTCGACGAGGACATTTCCTCCGGTCCCAGTTGTTTGGAAGAGGGAAAAGTCTTGAAATTTGGATAACGTCAGAGTGAAGATGCCGAGGATTGGTGTGGCGACCTAGAGAATCGAAACGTTCTCCGAACAGCTGTCTGTGAATATAATCGATGCTTTCGGTCGAACGTAAGAGGACTGCATTTATAACCGCTTCTCGAGTAATTAATTGATTAATTGGAGCGAATGGTTAGTTGGAGAGTCGAACGGAAGTTGATTAAGAATTCATCGGAACGAAGGATTCAAAGCACGCTTAATGGCCTGCAAATGCCTTCCGGGCCACGATTTGGTCGGCGAAAAGGGCAACCATGTGTGTTGCTTGATAAAGGCTTGACTCGATTCAAACGAATATCTGGTTCGTGTAACCGGTAGATTCGGCTTCGAACAGGGAAATTGTCGATAACTTTCGCCGATAACGCGACATCGTAGTCGACTAGAAAAGCTACGTTCGTTTAATTTCTGCTTGTTACATACGTACTTTACGATTCGTTACATCGCGATCTTTCCGAAGTCCCTGGAAAACTTGCA